AGCAGCAGCAACAGCAGCAGCAGCAGCGGGGACTTGATGAGTTTGCGGTTAATTGACATAACATCGCTGTGTGCTCTTGAGATTTTTAAAAAGAAAGAAATCAATTTTTCCTCTTTTTTTTCTTTTTTAAATTTGTCCTCTTTTGTGTCTCCTTTTGTGTCTCCATTTGCTGCTCTTCCGAGGATTGCTGAAGCGCAGCAGCAGCAGCAGCAGCAGCAGCTTCTGCTTTCGCTTTGACGCGCTTTTTCTTCGTTTTTTTCCTGTCCTTTTCCCTTTTATTTCTTCTATTTATTTATTCTATTTATTTCTTTTTATTCCTTTTATTTCATTTCTTTTTATTTCTTTTTGTCTTCGTTTTATTTCCTTCATTTCTCTGTGGCTCCTCTCAGCGCTGCTGCTGCTGCTGCTGCTGTTGGTCTGCTGCACTCGTCTTTTGTGTCTTTTTGCTGCTTCATTTATTTCTTTTTATTTTTCTTTCATCCTTTTGTGTTCTTGTCTTTACCTGCGGCCTCCTTTGCTGCTGCTGCTGCTGCAGCTCACTTGTCTCTATTAGTTTGGGTCTGCTGCTTGCTGCGTCTGCCGCTGTGGAAGCAGCAGCAGCAACAGCAGCAGCAACAGCTGCAGCAGCAGCAGCAAACTGAATATTTCTAGCGCACTCTATCTGCTGCGCTTTAAATTATTCTTAAAGGATAAAACCGTTAAGTTGTGTCAAGGCTTCAAACAGGCGCAGCACTTCCTGCTGCTGCTGCTGTTGCTGCTGCTGCTGTTACTGTTGCTGCTGCCGTTGCAGCCGCTGCAGCTGTCGCTGCTGCTGCTGCTGCTCTTAAATAGTTCGCTTCGTTGCTTCCCCTAGTTGTAGAAGGGGGCCCCAGGCTGCTGCAGCTGCATTTGCAGCCGCTGCTGCTGTAGTTGCTGCTGCTGCTGTTGCTGCAGGTGCTGCTGTTGCTGCAGCTGCTGCTGCAGAAGCAGCTGCTGCTGTTGCTGTTGCGGGTTCAGCATTTGCATCTGCTGAGGCGGCAGCTGCTGCTGCAGCAAGGCATCGTGGCTACGGCCAGGGGCCATCTGGTGCTGCTGCAGCTGCTGCTGGAGCTGCTGCTGCTGCAGCTGCTGCTGCCTCGTCTGCTGCTGCTGCGGATACACCATTGGCTCTGCATGGGGGCCCCGTAGAAACTGCTGTTGCAGCTGCTGCTGCTGCAGCTGTTGCTGCTGCAGCTGTTGTTGCTGCAGTTGCTGTTGCTGCAGCTGCTGTTGCTGCAGTTGCTGCTGCTGCAGCTGTTGCTGCGGCAGGCGGGGGTCCTGCTGCTGCAACGGCAGCTGCTGGCTGGGAGACAGTCCTATTAGTTGCTGCTGCCCAAACTGGTGGGAATGCTGCTGCTGCTGCTGCTGCTGCTGCTGCTGCTGCTGTAGATTACCTAAGCTAGTGTGAGGCGGCGACGCCGCAGACTGACACAGCAGCCGCTGCTGCTGCTGCTGCTGGTGAGCAATGTGCTGCTGCTGCTGCTGCACCTGCGGGTGCGCACTGATGAGCGGCTGCTGCTGCTGCTGCAGTTGCTGCTGCATAAGATCGCGGTGGTGGGGTTGCTGCAGCTGCTGTTGCAGTTGCTGCTGCTGGAAGGGCGGCTGCTGCTGCTGCTGCTGCCAGCTGGGCTGCCCCTGCAGCAGCATTTGCTGCTGCGGCGCTGCAGTATGCGAATATAGGTGATGCTGCTGCTGCAGCGGTAGCTGCGAAATTTGCTGCTGCAGTGGCTGTGTGGACGCTACGTACCCCAGGTGGCCCAGCCGCTGCTGCTGCTGCTGCAGCGGCTGTTGCAGCTGCTGCTGCAGCGGCTGCTGCTGCTGCTGCTGCAGCTGCTGAAGCGGCTGTTCCTGCTGCTGCTGCAGGTAGCCGGATGGGCGGGAAAAAGAACGAGCAGGGATGCTGTGCAGTTCCTGCTGCTGCGGCTGCTGCAGGCGCTGCGGTTGCTGCAGCTGCTGCTGCAGCTGTTGCTGCTGCAGTTGCTGCTGCAGCTGCTGTTGCTGTTGCAACTGCTGCTGCTGCAACTGGCTCTGCTGCATCCTCTGTAACGGCTGCTGCTGCACTGGCTGTTGGTGAAACTGCTGCAGCAGCTGCTGCTGTTGCTGCTGCTGAGGCATCTGCTGCTGCCGAACTGCATATGCATGCTGCGGCAGCAGCGCCTGCTGCTGCGGCACAAAGCTAGGGTCTGCCGCAGCAAACTGTTGCTGCTGCTGCTGCTGCTGGAGTGCAGTGTGCTGCTCATGCTGCTTCTGCTGCTGAGGCCCACAGTCTACTTTTCCCATGTAAGCATAGCCCAACGGTTGCTGCTGCAGCTGCAGCGCCTGCGGTTGCTGCTGCGGCTGCAGCACTTGCTGCTGCCCGTCTGCACCTGATCTCTGTTGCTGCAGCCACTGTTGCTGCTGCATCTGCTGCTGCTGCTGCTGTTGTTGGTGCAGCTGCATTTGCATGCTGTGGTGCTGTGCTGCAGCGTGTTGCTGCAGTGGAAACGGCTGCTGCCTCGCCTGGACAAACTGCTGTTGCTGCTGCAGCTGCTGTTGCTGCTGCAGCTGCTGGTGTTGCTGTAACTGCTGCTGCTGCTGCAGATAGAGCTGCTGTTGGGGACCTACAGGGCCTCGCTGCTGCTGCCGCTGCTGCTGCAGCTGCTGTTGCTGCTGTTGCTGCTGCTGTTGCTGCTGCTGCTGCGCGGTTGCAGCACATGGCCTGTATGCACGTAAAAAGGCACAGCATAAGCAGCACACTGCTGTTCTCGGGAGTCCTCGGTGAGAGCAGCCCAGCAGCAGCAGCAGCAGCCACAACGGCAGCAGCAGAATCCAAGGCAGCTCTGCTCCGCTACACGGAACACGGACAGTAGCCGCAGGAGTGCAGCAACAAACATTCATGCAGCAGCAGCAGCAGCAGCATGGACGCAGGAAACATTAACCACAGCAGCGGAAGAAAAGCTACTGAGACAGCAGCAGCAGCAGCAGCAGCAGCTGACTGTAATGGAGGCAGCGCCGTCGCAAGGAGATCCAAATCGCCAACTCCGAAGAACAGAGCGGCAACAGCCTACAGCA